TCAGTCCCCAAATGACTGATCTGAGCCAATCATGTAAATCCCTTTCCAGCCATTGGTTTTACGATGGTCAAGTGACCCAATCCTTGCCAACGAAGCTCAAAGTAAAATCAGCTGATAGGCTTCTGAAAAAAGTTTCTTCCATCCTAAAAAGGGACACAGGAAGATACAACATCTCTTTTTCCTTTGGACATTTGTCATTTTGAATTGAACACCCGAAATGCATATGGGAATGAGTTGCTTCCTGGTTGCATCCAACCTGAAGGTGAAATCTGCACATAGATGGATGGCACTTAGGACCACAATGATACCAAGGAGTCGCCAAATGAGCCAAACAAGGAGCCATACTTCTAAGACTCTTACAACATGACATAATAATTTACTTATTGTATAAGCAATCTGAACCAGTTTCAGTTAGTTACAGCTGCAAACTTTATAATTATTAATCAATTATTAATCTACATGCAATATCTTGTATCTCTTGTAAGAGCAAATTCACATCATACCTCCCTGCTTCCATAGAATACTATTACTCAGGGGTCTTTCAAAAAAGAGGGCAAGTACATGGGGTGGCTCAGTGGGTTGAGCGTCCGACTTCGGCTCAGGTCATCGACCCGCGGTTTGTGGGTTTGAGCCCCACGTGGGGCTCTGTGCCGACAGTTTGGAGCCCGGAGCCTGCTTCAGATTCTGTGTCTCCCTCTCTCTCTGCCCCTCCCCTGCTCATGCTCTGTCTCTCTCTGTCTCTCAAAAATAAATAAGTGTTAAAAAAAAAATTAAAGAAAGAGGGCAAGTACAAAACTCAGCCTCACCGTCTCATCCTTCAGGGCTGTGCCTGAATTCCCCATCCCCAACCTGTGTTATCACTATGCGAACAGTTTCAGAGACAATAATATAATGGGTCAAAGAAATTTCACCAAGCCAATGAAAATCTGTTAAATTGTAGATAAATTAGCAACACATGTACCTGGTTGCCCTATGAATAAGGGCCATATATATGGAACAGTGGAAGAATAGTGAAAGTTCCCTCTATTCCCCAAATATTCCTCCTGTACAACCTGGATATTGCTTTAAGTTCTCCATTTACAGATTCACCCTTTTGAGCTGAAGTAATTGTAAACACCCATTTAGGGGGTCATATGTTATGCCGTACTAATATTTAAATTTTTAGTATAAGTTCATCAAATCTTTCATGAGAGCAAAATTTAAGAGGAGGGGTTAGAAAGAGAACACCATTACAGTGAGTCCTTGGGGTCTAAGAAGGGAGGAAAACCTGAAAACAAAGGTAAAGAATGGTGAAGTGAGGGCCTTGAAGACAAAGTATGTTTGCTTTGCAATTCTACGTGAACTCACTGCTTATCATTCAGTTTGTGTTGATCAGGTGATAAGTAATGAATGATATTCTCAAGCCACAGGGACCCAGGTTCCCCCTCAGGACCTGGCCACAGGCCAACAATAGGAGTTATCTCCAAGGTGGAACATCAGCCCAAAAGCTCCAATATCCCATTGGAGCCACATCAGTTGCTGGGCCAGCTAGGAGGAAGGGGAAACCACCAGCCTGTGAGATCAGCCAACTCCATCCCGGCACTCAGGGATAGAAGAGGAAGCCAGATGGCCTTCACATCCGGACACCAGGCAGGTTGAACATTCCCTTAACTCTCTACCTCCCACTGTCTGGAATCAGTCGTTTCATTTTAAGAACCAACGAGATATAAAATTTTAGTGCATAACCACTAAAGAACCTTACAAAGTACTGGATTTACGTGAATTGCATTGAAAACAAGCAGAACATCTGTCATTATCTTTGCCAAGACTTCGTAGTTCCCATCATATAATTTTTTACAGAGATTAAAATCATTGCAAAAATTGAAAAAAAAAAATCCCTATTTTCCACATTGTTAAACCGAGATACAAGAAAGTTACCAAGATCATAAAATTTACCACACCCAAACCCACTATTAATCCTCCACCCTGAGAGTCCCTTTCCACCAAGCATTCCTGCCTCCTCTCTTCACCCAAGGCCTCCACTGACATGAGAGGTGTTGAGCTTTAATGGAGCACCAGATCCCCTCTGCCCCTATGGAGACTCAGGCTAAAATTACCTCTAGTCCAGTTTTACATGGTGCCTATAAGCTTTAGTTCTTCATTTTCTAAATACACTCAGGAGGTAAAAATTAGAACGGTACAAAAGGGATAGTATGTAAGTAACCCCCTCTCCCCTCCCTTGACCTCCAGTCCCCAGGTCCCCTTGCCAGAAACAATAATCTATTTCTTGAGCATCCTTCTGAATATAAACTGTATATATATAATATAAAGTTTACAGCCTGTTTTGCTCTTTGAATTACAACATCCCACAGTGAATTTCCAGAAATGTAATTTGCACAGAATCTTAGAGGAACACAACATACGTATTAGAAATGCCCAACACCCAGGCAGGTTTTGGGGGAAAGGAACAAGGTTTCTCACAATGATTTCAAACCGTAAGAGACATACTTCTCGTTTTTTAGAACCACCATCTTTTCTGAGCCCACGTTTAGCCTGTACACACTCTTGAAGAAACAATGTTCATAAAAGCACTAGTGACTGGCCCAAAATAATATTTTGTCATCTGTAAGGGAACTATTTTTTACGCTTCAAGAGGAAGCCCAAAGCTGTAACAACTCAGGATTGAATGAGCAAGTCCATATTCGTTCTATCCGTGCACTTCATTATTTTGTAGACTTTGAACCTGTCCCCCTCCAAGCCTTTGTCCTTCTGAACCAAGAAGTCTTCTTTACAATAACCAAATGAGAAAAACATTGCTCCCTGATGGCTCACAGAAGGCGCCAGAGACGTTAACCACTCCAGCCTCAAGCAATGTGAACCTTCTATGTTTTTAAAATCGGGTAGGTGACAGGTTTGCTAAAACAGGGCATTAGCAATCATGCGTGTGGGAACTAAATCCCTATTTAGACCTGGAGGTCAGGCCATTCCACATTTTGGACGAACAGTAATAATAACCAGTTCTGCAACTGGATACCCAACAGAGTTCAAGAAACAGATGGGAAACTTATCTATTTTCAAATCTCTGCCAAACTCCCCTTAGTTTAGAAGGAATATAATCCAGTCATCTGTGCTACTAAATCCAATACCTCTTTCAACACTAATTCATACACAGAGTGGCAAGGACTTGTAGCAATGATGAGTGGCATTTTGTATGAGTGAGCTGCCCAGAAGAGACATACGTCCTTAAGTGTTAGAGCTAAAAGTCGTTAAAAAAATAAATAAAACTAGAAAAATTAATAAGTAAATAAAATAAAATAAAATAAAATTGGAAGAAAAATAATCACACATCACTGCTTCATCACCGTGACATAGAAAAGCTGAGCCCTTAATACCAAAAGGAATGTTAAGGTCTCTATCCCTGAAACTGTGCATAAAGATCTTAATTAGAGCCGGTCCAAACTGTCCCGTCTGGAGTTCATGTCAAGTCACAGGTATCATTTCAATCCTGGCCTGTGATCTCACAAATGCAAGTCACGGGCTGAAAGGGAACGCATACGCCTGGACATAATTCATCCCACCAGCTGAAAGACAACCCCAAAACTGTGGCATTACAGCTGCTGGATGAGACATGCTCACAGTATGTGTTAGAACAAAAGGCAAGAACTGCCTCTCTGCAAATGGCTAACACCTGGAGCACCCAATTATCAGAAGATACTCGAAGGCCAATGTGCTGTAAGTTCTGCACTGACAACAGGAAGCACATCTGGGCCACTGAGCCAAATGCAACCCACGTGGTCTCCTCCGGGGAAAAAAGGCTCAGTGAGCAAAACCCAGATCACGCTACACATCTGGCTTTTGCCCCAGCATGAACTGCCTCTCCTTCTCAGCCTGGCACTCTGCATTTTTTTCAACAAGCCATTCTCTGCCACCGCCCCACCACAAACGCTTTGGTGGGAATCACAGGGAGGCCATCATCCCTTTTCCCAAAATAACGTCAGCCAGAGGCAAAGGCCAAGGAGGTGGAGCCTGAGGCCATTTTGCAAAAGTTTCAAATATCCTGGCACCGACCCCCTTAAAAGAATCATGAAGGGGAGACAGCCAAGCTTCTCATTTTCTCATTAGTGTTGTCTCTCTGCCTCTCTCTCTCTCTCATTACAAACTTCTGCATTTAAAAAACACAAAAAAACCCCAAAGGGATCTCACATAAAATCATATTAACATTGCTGGCTGTGGGAAAACAAATTTCATTTTGCAAATTTAAGAACCAAAGATTTGAAATGGAAACTTTCAGAGCATGTGCAGTGTTCTGTGACATTTCGATCCCCAAAAGGGGTCCTGGAGGCATAAGGCTGAACAAAGAACTGGTGAGCTGTCCCACCTTCTCCAAAGCTTTTTTGAAATACGCAGCTGCCTCAGATTTTCCAGACTCTGCTGATCTTTCCTCTGAAGAGAGAGGAAGCAGACTTCTTGGCTGTACAGTTCAAGAAACCAAATAAAGTAGTCTCCCTCCTAAAGTCAAAGGGGCCTTTCCAACACACACACACACACACACACACACACACACGTACTTACAGGAATATAACCAAGAAAGTAAAGAAAGAGAGAATATGACAGCGAAAGAAAGAAAATGCCTCTTTGTTTAGCTTTTTTAAAAACCTTCCCACAAAATTAATAGCAAACTAAACAGTGGCATATTATTCTCCAGTACCTCCCCCTTCTGCTTTACAGTTCTTCCAGCGAAAGCAAATGACATTACAGATGTGAAAAAGGCTCGGGGGGGGGGGTACAAATTGTTAAAGAAATACAAACTGTCATTACTATAATTAAAACTTTAAAAGGGCCAGCTGCCCGCGTCTATCTGTTCAGACAGAAAAACCACACCTCTCCCTAGATCTCTTCACTCTGGGCATACCTGCCTCTTCCCAGATACTTCCTTCCCAGGTCCCTGTCCCCAGCTGTTCCTTTGATGACCACACCTCCCCCTTGCAAGGCGCCCCTTCCCCACCCCGCCGAGTCCTCACCGTGTGGTACATGAGACCCTCGGTTTCCCCAGGCTCTGACAGCTCGCTCAGCTTGCGGTCCCACTGCAGGACGCTCTGCTCCCCGCTCTCCAGCACCTCCATGCTGGTCCGAGGGACGCTGGGCCGAGGATGCTGAGGGCAGGAGGGGAGCGGGCAGGGCCGCCGCAGAGGGTGAGGTCCGGCTCCGCAGGGGGTGTGTGCGTGTGTGCGTGTGTGCGCCTGGGCGCGTGTGGCTTATGCACTTGGAACGGAAAACGTTCTCTGCCTGAGAGAGAACTGCCAAGGGTTCCCGTCCGATGTCCTCGGAAATCTGAGAATCGTCGGGGAGAGACAGGCTGCCCAGGTATCTGGCTGAAGGCTGAAGGGGTTAAAGCTGGGCGCGCATCCAAAATAAAGGCAGGAGATCAGCTCTCATCCTAAGAAAATCCCTTCGCAGTAAGCCCACTTTCCACTACTGCTCCAGACACAAACTTTGAGACTCCCCAGAGCTTCTCAGTTGGGCTCCAGGATCCAGCTCTGACTCCACCTCCACCTAGGGCAGTGACCAGTCGGATACTCACTTCGTCCGCTCTATCCAATCAGAAGTCTGGCTTTCCGCCCTGTCCCGCCTCTAAGGCTGGGCAGCGGGAAGTCTCTGCCCAGACTTTGGAATGTGGGCGGGGAGCGCCCTTGACGTCACCGGGGAACTCCTTCTGCCAGGGCGCAACCAGCCACAGCTCTCTAAGGCAGCGGGCCAATGGAGTGCTTGAATCCGGGAGTGATGGACTGGCATTGTAGCCAATGACAAATGGGGGCCTAGGAGGAACAGCCAATCAAATAGCGACAAGAATACATTTTACAAAAGAGGGAGGGCGAACTCAGTACCTTCGCTTAGAATACCGAGAAGTTAGCGCGCGCTCCTGGAAAAAGAGAGCTGCTGTGTGGGCCGATTTATATATTGTCTTAAATATTTCATATGCTGTCTTAAATATCTATATACGGTCTTAAATATTTTCTTAATCTAGATTAGGTCATTTGAGTCTGGATTGTTTAAAAAATGAGTTACATATTATACACAAATATTCCCCATTGTGCACGAGTTTGTATTAGCAAAGTTCTAGCAAATTGTCATCGCCTGTTCACATTTTCCGCCCCCTTTCTGCTATGCTCTTCTCCTGACATGTTGTTTTTAGGGGCTTCACTAAAAACTGCAGACTATTGATAAGAGCCAATGGCTTGCTTCTCCAGGTCCTGAAGATCAAGGCGCTAAAGACCTGGAATTCATAGAGCCTTTTATCTCTGTGGAAGAGTCAGGCAAACAAAACAAAACGAACATATAAAAAAAATAATAATAAAGCCATAATATAATTTCAGAAAGTAGTAACTGCTATAAAGAAAAATAAAAGCAAGGTAAGAGAATGGGGCAGTTCGATGCTATTTTAGATAGCCGTCAGGGTTCTTTCTGGGAAAGTGACATTTGAGCACAGACCTGAAGGAAAGGAGGTTTGAGGAGGAGCTGGTGTTTTGCTGACAGAGAAGCCAGTTTCTGCAGCAAGATTTTCCTCAGTGAGTGATGAGAGAGGAGGCCTGAGAGATGGGCAGGGACCAGATCACCAACCTGCCTAAATTAGGGAAGAGAGAGCCTATTCTAGTATTTTCTCCCAACACTGTGATTTTTCTTCCTCTTTTTAGACTCCTCCTTTTAAGGAAACAAAGTCATTGAAAATATAGTTTGTTCATTTTGTCTTTGGTATTTTTAATTGGTTTTCTCATTTTAAATATGAAGAGGTCTGCCAAGTGTCTCTAGAAGTTTCTCACAATGGCACATTCAGGTATTATTAGGGAGTACTTCCTCCTCTCCTTTGCAAGCATTTCTTGGTGAGTGGGGTCAGTCAAAGGTCTTGGAACTCTGTGTTGTCTTTAAGCAGCAGATTGTCATGTAAACTATTCCATTTGTCCGGTCCTATCTCCTGGGACTTTTGAGAATATTTTAATACTTGAATAGAAATTCTAGTTTATGGGCATACACTTTCTTTGTGTAATAGTTTTCTTGTTTTTCTCTTCGTCCTTGATTCATTAAAAAAAAAAAGTTTTTTAATGTTTATTTATGTTTGAGAGACAGAGAGAGACAGAGTGTGAGCAGGTGAGGGGCAGAGAGAGGGAGACACAGAATCTGAAGCAGGCTCCAGGCTCCAAGCTGTCAGCACAGAGTCCAATGCGGGGCTCGAATTCACGAACTGTGAGATCATGACCTGAGCGAAGTCGGACGCTTAACCAACTGAGCCACCCAGGTGCCCCAATTCTCATTTTTAAATCTGCTACCTCCTTCCCCACATCCTCTTAGCATACCACTCAACATGAGTAAGAAGGAAACATGTACATCCTCCTTAATGGTGGAATACAAATATTTATCTCTCAAATATTGCTGTTTGTGACAGAGTCAGCCTCTGGTTATGCCCCATGTAGTAGGCAGCTTCTTGGCTCCGATTATTCTGCTTCTTGGTATTTATATCCTTGTGTAATTCCCTGCCCTTGAGTGTGGGCTGGACTTCCTTGAAACAAATAGAATATGGTAAAAGTAATGGCTTCCAAGAAAGATTCTGACTGCCCACTTGCTTTGTACTCTCTTCCTCTCTTGCTAGCTTGCTCCAAGGAAAGCCAGCTGCCATGCTGAGAGCTGCCCAGTGGAAAAGCCCACATGGCAAGGAACCGAGGGAGGGGTCCAGCCGGTAGCCAGCAAGGAACTGAATCACTGAGTCCCATAACCCTTGAGCAACCACATCCTGCTAGTAACCATGCGAGTGACTTTGGGAGCAGTTCCTCCCCCAAGTTGAACCCAGAGATGACTACAGCATTATGAGAGACTATGAGGACTGGGCTCATTATGAGGACAGACCAGAGGACTGGGCTAAGCTGCAGATTCCAGACCCACGGACACGAGAGGTAATACACATATGTTGTTTTTAAGCCACTATGTTTTTCTTCATGAAATAAGTAATATAATAATTGGTACCCTAAAGGTTTGATGAAATTTACCTGTACTCCAAAAATAATGTCACAATCCCTAATGGTGATTTTTTCCCAGCCCTCCTTGTTTCATGTTTCCTCGTATTTCTTGTTCTGCACTTGGGTTTTGTGTCTGTCTCTTTCCCTCTCATTCTTAGGATTTAGCAATTGAGTTGACTTCCCCCTTCTCCCCCCAGTTTCTCTGGCATCCTTAAAAAGTAGCAGCAGTTACTCCTGTGTCTTTTTCTTTTTCTTTTCTTTCTTTGTTTTTTTTTTTGGGGGGGGATAGAATTGACATAAAACATTACATTAATTCATTAGTTTCAGGTACACAACATAATGACTCGGTATTTGCATATATTACAAAAAGATCATCACAATGTGTACTTATAGTCAACATGATGCACATTATATTCTCTGGACTTCTTTATTTTATAACCAGGGAATTTATACCTTTTGACCCACTTCACCCATTATGCCCCACCCCCCCATCTCCAATCTATTCTCTGTATCTGTACATTCAGTTTTTTGTTTTTGTTTTTGTTTTTATATCTCACATATAAGTGAGATCATACAGGATTTGTCTTTCTTCCTGACTTACTTCACTTAACGCCCTCAAAGTCCATCCATGTTGCTGGAAATGGCAAGATTTCCTTCTTTTTAATGGATGAATAATATTCCAATGTGTATTTATACCACATTTTCTAAATCCATTCATTCACTGATGGACACTTAGGTTGCTTTTGTGTCTTGCTATTGTACATATGCTGCAATGATCATGGGGCTGCAGATATCTTTTCTAGTTCGTGGTTTTATTTCCTTCAGATGAATACCCAGAAGTGGAATTGCTGGGCCATATGATAGGTGTATTTTTAATTTTTTGAGGAACCTCCATACTGTTTTCCACAGTGGCTGCACCAATTTACATTCCCACCAATACTACACAGGGGTTCCCTTTTCTGCACAGCCTCACCAACACTTACTGTTTCTTGTCTTTTTTCTAATAGCCATTCTAACATGTGTGAGGTGATATCTTATAGTGGTTTTTATTTGCCCTTCTTCATTTTCCCTGATGATTAGTGATGTCGAACACATTTTTATGTAACTGCTGACCATCTGTATGTCTTTGGAAAGATCTCTATTCAGATCCTCTGCCCATTTTAATAATTTTAGGATTATTTGTTGTTATGCTGTTGAGTTATATGAGTTCTTGATATATTTTGGATATTAACCCCATATCAGATATATGATTTGCAAATATTTAATGCCATTTGGTAGGTTGCCTTTTCATTCTGAGGATGGTTTCCTTTGCTGCACAGAAGCTTTTTGGTGTGATATAGCGCCACTTAGTTATTATTTTTGCCTTCATTGCCTTTGCTTTTGGTGTCAAATCCAAAAAATTATTGCCGATACCAATGTCAAGGAGTTTACCACCTTTGTTTTCTTCTAGGATTTTTCAGGTTTCAGGTCCTACATTCAAGTTTTTATTCCCTTTTGAGTTCATTCTTGGGTATGGTTTAAGATAGTGGTTTTGTTTTGAGGCGCCTGAGTGGTTCAGTCGGTTAAGCGTCCAACTTCAGCTCAGGTCATGATCTCACCGTTCACGAGTTTAAGCCCCATGTCGGCCTTGGTGCTGACAGCTCAGAGCTTGGAGCCTGCTTTGGATTCTGTGTCTCCCTCTCTCTCTGTCCCTCCCTCGCTCGCTCTCTCTCTCGCAAAAATAAACATTAAAAAAAGTTTTGTTTCATTCTTTTGCATGTGGCTGCCCAGTTTTCATATCATCATTTATCCAAGAGACTGTCATTTCCCTTTGTATATTCTTTGTTCCTTTGTTATAAATTAATTGACTATATATGCATGGATTTCTTTCTGGGATCTCTATTTCGTTCCATTGATCTATCTGTCTGTTTATATGCCAATACCCATACTCTTTTGATTACTATAGCTTTGTAAGACAGTTTGAAATTGGGAAGCATGATGCCTCCAGGTTGTTCTGCTTTCTCAAAATTGCTTTGTCTGTATTGGGATTTGTCTGGTTTTGTTTCTGTGAAAAGTGTCATTACAATTTTGACAGGGATTACACTGAATCTGTAGACTATTTTGGATAATGTGGACAT